GCTCTCAAAGACCCGAACTGGCTCGCGGATTACTTTGATATCATCACCAACAGTGGGATCATTTGCGTGTCCCCCTACCAATGCAAACATCATATTCGGCAAATGGATTCTTCATCACAAATTCAAGAGGGACGATACTCTCGATTGCCATAAGGCACATTTGGTCCTCCGTGGTTTTCATCAAGATCAAGGCACTGATTTCGATGAAACTTTCAGCCCCATCGTTAGCCCAGCAACTACTCGTTGCATTCTCTTTATCACACTCTCCCACGATTAATTTTTTTTCCTTAATTCTTCTTCTGATGATCGATTCAACCTCTGATAAAAAATATAGACCTTGGTTTCTATTTCATCTCTTCAACAAGTTTAGTAACAACCCCTCGATGTTCAAAAAGTCGTCTTGCATGCAGTGGTGGATACAGCGCCCAGCGGCCCTGGGCAGTTGCCTGGGCTCGCTGGCTCTAGGAAGCTACGGTGGGCAGAAAGCCCTATTTGCAGCTCGCTGCGGCCAAATGTCGGGACAACACACAGGCGATCAAGCGATCATTCTAGGTGGGCCGGCCCGTTAAGTGTTTTCAGGATTCCCAATTCCGGGAATCTTATAGGACGTTCCAGCAGATTCTTTTCGGTTTTGGGAACCTTCAAGCAAGATCCTATACCGGGTTTTCTCCTTTTTTGTTCCAGGTGGGCTGGCCGTTAAGTGTCTTTTTGTTTTTTTTCTTCTTTTATATACTATTTCTTTTTTGATGATTTTAAAAAATGTTCCCCTTTTTAATTTTTCTGCACATTCAATTTATTTTCTTGTTTTCTAAATTTGTTCATAAGTTCAAAAAATATTGGCGTTTTGAAAAAACGTTCATAGTTTCAATTTTGTTCCTGTTTCTTTGCATTTTTTAAAAAAATTGTTCGCAATTTCGAAAAATGTTCTCGTTTTTTTTTCAAAACATGTTTGAGGTTCCAAAAAAATGTTTGTGTTTTTATAGAAATGTTCCTGTTTTCATTTTTTTCGCACATTGAAAAAAGTATTGTTTTTTCAATATCAATTCACATATAAATAATAATATTTCTCAAATTTCCTAAAATGTTTGTGCTTTGACAAGTTACGTATTTAAAAAAATGTTCAGTTTTAAATAATGTTTTTGTGTATAAAAATTGACCGCATATTGAAAATTTTGTTCTCATTTTTTAATATATTCTCCTTTTTTATTTTTTTGAGATTCTAAAATTTTCTATTTTTGAAATTGTTGTTCATAAATTTGAAAGTGTTCACATTTTTTCTACAATTTCAAATAATGTTCTTGCTTTCAATTTTGTTCCTTTTTTAATTCCCAAAAAGGTGCGCGTTTTCACATAGTGTTCTAGTGTTGAAAATTTAGTTCACAATTTATAAAATGGTTGCGGTACAAAAAATATTTACATTTCCCATAAGGAAAGTCACGTTTTGAAATTCTTTAAAAATATGGTCTATGTCGCAGCTTATAGTTCATATATGCCGGGCTACCTTTTTTACACGAAATCTCAGAAATACAGTCGCTAGCTACTTGTTTGGCTGGTGCGAGGTACTGTGTTAGATCCCCCACTCAGATTTTATTTCATTGTAGTTTTGCGAACTCATATTTATAGTTTTTGTCGCTACTATTAGTTTCTTTAGGTTTGCGGTGGCAAATCAACACAAGAACTAGCTAGTCGTACTGGTTAGCTCTCTTGTGCATCTATAGGAAGACGTGGGTTTGGTTCCCAGCTGTGCCACTTCCTTTTCCTTTTCGCAATTTTTAATTCCGCGAACGTGGCGCACCCGCAACTTGGGCCAGCCCAGGTGAGCTGCTTCTGTGCGAAATGCCGACTCCTTGCCGCGGTGAGCGGTATATAGGAGGTCCCGCAGTGGGCATGTCAAACGCTGGCTAAATACTATGGTTTACCCGGGCAAAACATGGACAGGCCTCCTTGAGCAATCAATTCAGAGCCAGCCCAATTAAAATCTGACGAAACAACTTCACACCAGAAGAAATCGATGGGTTCCTGAAAAAAAAATAACGAGAAGAAATCGATCGATCGATTGCTCCAGATTCCCTCCCCGTCTTTTCGTTTCTCACAAGCGGAGAGCTACGGGCTAAGGGCGCTATGGCGCGACCGCAGGAACTGGGCGAGGCGCGTGGCCGGCGTCCGGCAGCGAGCGGAACACCAGAACCCAGTCTATTCGTCCCCTTCCTCGGCCCCTCCTTCCTCTCCTTGGGTAAGACTGCTAACTGAACTGTTGATCTAAGCCGGGTAATGATGACTTAGGGTTTAAATTGAGGGAATTTTCCATAGGGGGTGATCATTTCTGGAGAAAAAAATATTATTTGTTAACTGTTGGAAAATACAGAACGGTATGTATCTAAGAAGCAAGCATCTTGCGGACTGCCGGCCGGTTGGAGGTACTGTTCTACCTTCTTGTAATCTGGTTGCCTTGCCTCATATAGTGCTTATTTTCTTGATGTGTAGGACAGAAACATTTCACTGGTGAACTGTAAACTGAATATTCGATAATATGACACATGCAGTTGATTCAAGTAGCCCGTAGAATGAACTTCAAGATTTGAATCATTTTCCTATTTGCTTGTGTATCAACTAACTTCAAGATTTCAATCATTGGGTTTCAGAGATGAGGAGGTTTTTTTGTTAATAGAGCAAGCATCGAAAATGTAAATTGTGTGCAAACAGAAACAGAAGTAGAGCCACAGCCACAACCACCGCCTACCATTGCCAATAAATTTAATCCAAATACAAATGAGCGTGATCCAGGAAAGCGGAGACAAAATTGTGAGTATCACATTAAAATTACATTCATGTGACTATTATATTTATGTTTTCACTTCATTATTAATGTCGATTTGTGGTACAGAAGTTTGGTGCTATATTATATGTTGTGTATGCAAATGCCCGAATTTTTATTTTCATATTACACATAGGCTTAACTTGCCGAGGCTTCACAAAAGTTCTGGCTCCGCCACTGCTTGCATGACACGTTAAATGAGGTCATCTACTGTTGACAACCTAATGGCTTCATTGACTCATCACCCCTGATCATGGGCATCCCGCCCTGACCATGGGTGTCGTCTCAATCGGTCTCTCTATGGCTTGAAGCAAGCTCCGCGCGCGTGGTACCAAGGATTTGCTATGTACATAGCGACCCTCAGCTTCACATGGTCCAAGTCCGACATGCTGTTATTCATGCTTCATGGCATGTTCAGTAAATCATTCCTCCTACTCTACATCGACGAGATCATCCTGACATGTTCCTTGAATACACTCCTCAAGCATGTCATCACCGTCCTCAGCTTCAGGTTTGCAATGACCGATATATGTGAATTGGACAACTTCCTTGGCACTCGTCGCTCTACATCCGGCTACTGAGACTTTTATGGTGACAAACATGTGTCATGGCCCTCCAAACTCAAACACATAGTTTCCCACTCCAATGCTGAAGCATAGTACCGAGTTGTCTCCAACGCCGTTGCCGAGACTAGCTGGATACGGCAACTCCAGGAGGAGCTTCAGTGCCACCTTCCTTCGGCCACTATTGTGTTATGCGACAGTGCGAGCGTCGTGTACATGTCAACAAACCCGGTACGACACCAGCATACAAAGCATATCGAGGTTAATCTTCACTTTGTGCGGGACCGTGTCGCCTTGGGCAACATCCACACCCTCCATTTACCTTCTTCTCGACAGTTTGCCGACATCGTCACCAAGGGGCTGCCATCGCTATTGTGCTTGGATTTCATCTCCAGTCTCACGGTCCTATAATCTCATGATATGACTATGGGGGAGGGTTAGGCAACCGAATATATGATTGATATTGGTTGATCGTTTACCCGATCTTGTGCCTCACGTATAGCATGTAATCAGGATATTATTGCTAAATATTTTGGATCTATTCCTTATATATCTCTGTAACTCCTCTTTATATGAGATAAGACAGAAACCATCATTTTGTGGCAAATTATCCGAAACTTAAAGAACGAATGCATTTATTTTATGATGCCATTATGCTAAACCAAAAAAAAAGAACTTACAATTGGACATGATTTTGTTTTATTATCAACAAAGTTCAACGAGAAGCATTGGAAAGGATATATTGTGCCAACCTTACAATTATCATGAGAAGGCGAAAAAATTTGTTAGTTATCAAACATCAAAGCAATACCTAGAAGTCTATCTCCATTTCACATGTTGTCATACTCTAGCTTAGTATGTAGATTCAAGGCACGAGTTCTCTTATTTTTTAAGGCCAAATAACATGAGGTCAAATAAGCATATACTTTTACACAACGACACCTTGAACACATAACCAGAGCAATGCTAATACCTGAAGACCATAAAGCAAACTATGATGTGACACTAACGCAGAAACCCAAGTAATAATCTTATGCTTATAAAATAGCCTATAAAGCTCCATGTCACTCCTGCATCTTTCCTGACCTACATACTTCAGTCTCAACACATGGTTTTAGGTACTGGTGAAATTACTGTCCTACTCCTTTAGGCATCAGCCAAAATGCTCTAGGAAATACTTCATGCACTGACTCCTCATTTTCTTTGCCCTGCTGGCTGGCTCGCTAATTAACAATGATCAATGCGACAAAAAATAGTAATGAAATGTTCAAGCAGGCATATTGTACTTAGAGTAAATCAAGAGTTCTTCAACACCAACATACATTTATAATACTTTAGAGATGCAACAACAAACCAATTAAGGAGTGTTACTTCCAATATACATATACTTTCTCCATTCAATGTATCAAACAGAGGAAATGGCACGGTCCACGTACAATGGACGCTTACATAAATCATCAAGCAAACGCTATGATAATAACTATGGATTATATATAATGCATGGTACAATCCAATAAAATTCACTTTCTTACGCTAGGCTTGTGCACTGGTTGATATGTATTAGCTTAGGATTCCTGAAAATTGGACTAGATGGCACATACAGTTGGCATCAGTAGCTCTGCTCATCTCAGTGTTGTTGCAGTAGTATGTACAATATTCTCTTTAATCTTGACAAGTTGTTCTGCTACTTCTTTCATACCAGGGCGTCCATCTAAACGTTCTTTTAGACACTTCATTGCTAGCTTGCCAATTTCTTCAAGGATCAGGATATCTTTTTCAGCTACAATCACCTCATCAAACAATGACCTTCCACTATTTTTTTGTCTCATATATATGGCGGAATTCAATGATGAGGCTACCGCTTTCACCATATTCCACCTTTTTTTTCTAGATATGAGCTCTAGGAGAACAACCCCAAAGCTATAGACATCACTCTTTGAGGTTAATATGCCAGTGTTCCTGAAAACTGGGTCCATGTAACCCTGGCACCCAATAACCTTCTTAGTAAATTTTTCCCCTGGGTTAAGTAGTTTAGATAGCCCGAAATCAGCTATTTTTGGTATTGACTTGTCACTGAGAAGTATGTTGTCTGGTTTGACATCACCATGTCGTATGTCTTCAGAGTGCATATAGCTTAATCCGTTGGCAGAACCAATTGCAATGTCCAACCGTAACTCCGCCGAGAGCTTCTTGTTTTGTTTCCAGTGGAGAATGTCTCTGAGACTCCCTTCGGCAGCAAACTCATACACCAACATTGGAACATCCAACTGGAGGCAACAACCCATCAGCTTGAGAATGTTAGGGTGTTTCATTTTCAATTGGATCTTCACTTCCTCAGTAAATTCCCCTATTTTGTCTTTATCTACTTTGATAAAGGATTTAACTGCCACAATTGCTTCATCAGGTAGAGTTCCTTTGTATACTTTACCAAAGTATCCATTGCCCAAACACTCTGAATTATTCTTAGTGATTTTCTTTAGGTCCTTCTCTGTGAAAATGGGCAGGCCTATGACTGATTTTAGTATATTACCCCCGTTCATTTCAAAATGCTCAGCAATTTTTCTCTTTTGGTGTATTATAAATGCCAAGAGCAAGGCAAAAACCAAGATGGACACACCTAGGCTGATGCCTGCAATATATCATATAAGGTTACTTGTAAGAATTTTATGTTATATACTGTTTCATTCCAAAAAAAATAAGACACACATTTTTCCATCCCATGAAGGTTATATATGCATACTGCAAGAATACCTGCAAAATTAATGTATTGATTTTTTTTCTTCCATCGAGTTTGGGCATAATATGTACATAGGGGAAAATGTTAATTTGAAGTTTGTAATAGTTAGGAATTTAACCTTAACAAACAGAAACAGACTTTTAACCTTATCATGGCATTAGTTAGGTATAGCTTGGAAATAATTTTGTTGTGCAATTAATATGTATATATATACCTAGAGCAATCCTTGCTGGAAGTGGGAATTTTGGATTGCACGGGTTTTCTTTTGGATCACCACTACTCTCGTAGCCAAGGTGACATTTGCAATCATATGAACCCTCAGTGTCATAGCATACACCATTGCATGGATATTCCTCCCTTGGACGTGCACATTCATTTAAATCTGCAAATTAATTTATGAATCAACCATGAGGCATTCTCTACATTTAAATATAGCCAAGTCATTAATAAGATAAGTATTAGTAACACATCTATTTCAAGTCTTCTGATAGCTTTGAGAGTGTGTTGTGGCATTCTCCCGGGCCCTTGAATATTAACTCGAGTGCTACATAGCGATTAGTCGTTTATTGTAGTATAAAGAAGCATGAGTGGCTTATAAATTTGATCATTAAATATACAATCACAATGTATTTTTAGCACTCCATCCCAGGATATATGGCATGCATCAGAGTTTATGATCAATTTTGAGTAACGATTAGAAAACTATATAGAACTATGCTAACCATAAATATGAATACAATAGTTCCACTATTATGTCTCATAGCTCATAAAATATTATAGTGATGTGCTCAGAATTGAGCATAAAATTTTGTGCACGTCTTAGATTGTTGAATGAGATATTAGCTTGTATAGAAAGAAACTTAAAGGACGAGACAAAACTATGTGAGTTTTTTTGCACACCCAACGAAAATAATTAAAAACAATGATTTCTATTTTTAAAAATGTTTAGCCAATGTTCTCTACAAAACATCTGGCAAGTGGCATGTCAAGCAATTGGTTACTAATTGGAGCGAGGCCGTGGGGCGCATATGAAGTGGTGCTTGTCATTAAATTCCATGCATGACATATGTTGTGTATTTTTTTTGAACATGTACTTGGTGTGATACACTTATTTAGTTTGAAAAAGAATACACACTAAATACATAAAAGCTGTGTAATTTAGAAATTTGTTTACAATCAGCACTAATTTTCAAATAGATAAATACTAGATGTACCATAAGCAACACACATACAAAAGTTGCATATAAAATCTTCTCCATGTGCTTGAAAATAGATGTATTCATAGACAATGATATGGTCTAAAAACAATCAACTTCGATTATTCCATGGTGTCTACGTACATTAGTACAAAGTTATTAAAAATATAATCTATTTTTTCAAAAATGGGTAGCATTATTTGAGACCAAACTAATAACCTGGTTGTACATCATGAATAATACTTCAATTTTTGAAAGTTGACTGCACACTTTTTAGGACAGCACTGTGATTTGTTATAAAAACAATTTCTTTTAGTTAAATCATATGCCCGATATATGATATAATCGACATAGACATAGATTTAATATTTTTGTCGGATGGGATGTCTTTTTCTTTAGATAAAAAGAAGTTTTTATTGAAGTCAGATAATTGCACCAAGGTGATACAACCTTATTGAGCTCAGTTCCGGTCTCTGCCATGGTACAGTCAATTGCCATGTCTAACACTACATAAGAAAAGTGCCACTCATAAATAGTTAGAACTCCCAAACTATATGCTTCCTTCCAAAATTTAGGGTGTAATTACTTTCTGAAGGTCAATTTTATCTATGTTTCACCAAGTTTATTTAAAAATATATCAATATGTTACCACGTCGGTACCATTTGATTCATCATGGAATATATTTTCATGTTATAATATTTGCTATTGTAGATGTTGATATTTTTTCCCATGATCTTGGTCAAATCGCAGAGGGATTTAACTATTGAACAAATTAATACACCTTGTAATTACCCCTAAAAAATACACCTTATAATCATATAATATTGAAAAGGAGGGAGTAAGAATTCAGCACTTATAACATGTATTCCCTAAGGTTGGAAGAGAAACTTACTTGTGCATCCCTTGTGCAGATACGGGTTGCCCTCGTAGCCTTTGGTGCAGTTGCACACATATCCGGGAGACCGGGACCGTTGGTGGAGTCCACGCACTCGCTGTGTTGGCTGACACATGCGTACGCCGGCATGCTCGGCGCCTCGGCGCACGACAGGGAGCTAACGTTGTTGACGCGGATGGCCCAGTCTAGCCGCAGCGGCTTGCTGGTCTCGAGGTCCATTTTGAGGTCAGCCTTCTGGAACGTGTAGTTGCCCTTCTCCACGATGAAGGCGTAGTCGCAGAGGCTGAATTTCATGCCCGGGTGCGACCAGCTCGGATCCTGCGAGAACCGCATCCTGTTGTCCGAAAGGTCCCATGGGATATTGACATGGCAGCAGCCGACTCCGCTGCACTCGCCATCCCGCGCGCTCTGGGCGTTGTCGCAGTAAGCGGCGCAGCCCGTGTAGTAGGTGTACATGGAACGACCGCTCGGCCCGCTGTTGGTGTAGGCGAAGGTGTTGCAGCCGATGATGAAGAGCTCGTTGTGAGTGTTGGAGATGCGGTAAACGCCAGCCGGGTTGTAGTCTACGGTTTTGATGTGCCAGTCGACGACGTCGCCGGAGGAGTTGTGGCACTGCCATGTTATGGGCACCATCACCCGAGCCTCCGGGCGCGGGGTGACTGACATGCTGAGCACGAACACCCGTAGAGCCTGGCCGGTGTTCCCTAGGATAGGCCTGCTGTTGTCGCAGATGATCTCGAAGCCCGGGAGGAAGCAGCCTTGGCCGATGCCGAAAGGGTAGGGGACATCGACGCCGCCACAGCTCGGCCCTCAGCCATGCTTCAAAGTGAGGCTTTGCGCGGTGGTGGCAAGTGCCGCAACAAGCAGCGTAGGCAGCAAAAATGTCGTCGACATTTCTGCTTTGTTCCTCAGCTACTTGCTGTTGGTAGCTTCGGCCTTTATATAGAGTTATACCATGGTGATAGCGGGTTTATAGTAGTTATTATTACTTTTATGTGGCGGGTCTATAGTTATTGAACTAAAAGCCTAGTTAAGAAACTGTTGCAAATGGAACAAAAACAGTCCGAAATGTATTTTACTAACAGGGGCACTACCAGGCATTACCTGCTGGCATAGCTATGTCGAGAATGGCCATAGTTTGCCAAGATCCATGTTATAAACTTGATTCTCCGACAGTACTGCACTCTTGGTCTTCAACGTAGCTTCATCTGGTAGATCAGAGCCTCCTCACACTCCCACACCGCCGGAGCTGTTGAGGATGAGGTGGACGGCGACCTACCGTGTAGGAGGGGTTTTAGCATGGTGTGCTTAGAAAATCTTCTCTCTAGGGTTTGGAGAGGAGATAACCAGACCTCTATAGGTTTTAGTCATTGTTAATTACAACAAATTTCCTACGGCTGTGCCATCCCCATCTCCACAAGAAAAACAATAAAGCAATGATGTATAGAATTATAGCATGACACGTCTTCTTGAACTGCTACTATGCCTTTATGTATGGAATTGACTATTGAGATAAGCCCAACAATAAGTACAGCCCTGAAGCCCTGAACCGAAGGACGTTTTGTAGACGAGCAAACATGGAATGCAGAGTACATATGCAAACATTGAAGGAAGTTGACTTTGAGCGTTGAAGAAAAACCGTGTAGTAGGAATTAATGCTTAGCTCGCCCATCAATTAAAAAGCCCCCCCCCCCCCTCAATTTTTAAGGATAATAGATATCATTTGCATTATAATTATAATCTATGGAATGTAAAGACAATATTAGCTTATTACATCCTCTCTCTTTATTGTGTGGGCCCTGCGATATCAACTGCTGGTGACACAAAGGAAGACAAGCGGTATCCTCTCATCTTATCTTAAAAAGGGAAAAAATAAAGCCCACATCACCCAACGTCACACATGTTAGGGCATCTCCAACGTGGAACCCCATGACAACTACTAGGGTAAAACATATGTAGCGAAGTGTTTCGAGGTACACTAAGTGTTACTCCCTCCGTTCTAAATTACTTCTAGCAAAACTGGGCAAAAATGGATGTATCTACAAATAAAATACGTCTACGTATATCCATTTCTGCGAAAGTAATTCTGGACAGAGGGATTATTTGTCAGCTAACAACGAAGATGTGGAAAGATTTCTTAAACATTCTGAGTGGAAATCGACCAAATGAGGTAAATAGTGTCATGATAGAAATTCTTACAGGTAGAAACCAAAAAATCTACCACATGTTTAATTTTGGGACCGTCCTTATCGGGCCGTAACTGATTAGGATGGACGATGGAAATACATACATTCTACTCCAGGAGTACAACTACAGGGGAACTTTGTCCACAAGTTAAGGTGTAATTTGCCATCACTGGTAGAAAAAGAGGCTTCCGTCCAGCCCCATTAGTCGCGAAACTGTAGGAACCGCGACTAATGAAGTCTTTAGTCGCGGTTCGGCAGACGAACCGCGACCAAATGCCTGGCCCAGGGCGCTCGGTG